TTTACTCACCAAGGCGCCCCTGGGGGTTACAAAAAATAATGGCCATAAGCTAGCAGAGAGCAGATTTAGACTAGACATTAGGAAGAACTTCTTCACAGTTAGAGTGGCCAAAGTCTGGAATGGGCTCCCAAGGGAGGTGGTGCTCTCTCCTACCCTAGGGGTCTTCAAGAGGAGGTTAGATAGGCATCTAGCTGGGGTCATCTAAACCCAGCACTTTCCTGCCTATGCAGGGGGTCGGACTAGATGATCTATTGAGGTCCCTTCCGACCCTAACATCTATGAATCTATGAATCTATGAAAAATCAAGCCTTAGCCTGCCTTGGCCAGTGAGTCCCTCCCATACCCAGCTCACCCTAGTCTTTGTTTTTCAATGCCCTAAGCAAGGCCCCCCTTGGTCCCATCAGTGCTACAGAGCACCAGTCACCTTCAGGGCTATTCATGGTCTCCTTTTACCCCTACAGACAAGCCCATACCTTGCAGGTATTATTCCTGATCCATTCACTAGCAGAAGCTTTTACCCTATACAGACTCCCTGTTAAGTCTTTAGCAATGCAATTCCAATTGAGTTGTGGGTATGAGATCATGGAGAGAGTGGAGCCACCACTCTGCACAGAAAGGTAGATAACTGTAGGCACAAGTTTGGAGTATGATATAGTCTTAGAACTTGGTGAACAAAGAAAAATAATCTAATATTCTTCAAATAATTAATTTGAAAAATAGAACAAATAAGCTGATTTCAGCCCAGCTCTATAAATGGGGAAATTAGCTTTTTAAAAAATCCATTGAGTAAACTTCCAAAAATACTGTGAAATTCAGTAACTGTTCAATATTATTCAGCCAATGAAACATGTGCCTGATTTCCTTACCCGAATCTTTCCAATTTTCTTTCTTTCTTAAAATAAAAAAAAGAAAAATCACTGGACAAAGTACTCCAGGAGTACATAGTGATTAGCAATACAACTTTGTTTTCAGTATTCTCTCTCTTAACAGGTTTAAATACACCCAATCAACCTATTAGTCTTTTAATAGATGCCACACTGAAGAGACATTTGCATTCTATTATCACTTCTGATTTTAGTTTCTTTTCTCACAGGTTCATTCAAATTCCTGATCCTAATTTTTTTCTCAAAGTTTAAATTTATATTGCCATAAGCTGTCTAGCAATCAACATGACTAAACATATGGAGGTTTTTTCAACCTTTACTAAGCAAAAGCAAAGGGACATTAGCAAATTTCTCAAACCTACAATATTTCTCTACTGGGATCTCTTAATAATTTCTCTCCATTATGAAAGACAGCCTTCCATTACTATCATTTCCTACCGGTATACAAGTTTTGAATTCACAAGTTTTGCTTCTTCTTGCTGCTATTAATTTTAAGGCTATGGAAAGTGCTTAAGGGACTTGCAAGTTGATGTTTCATTTCCAAAATGACCTCAGCATGTAAGATTTTAAGTCACTTGGATACTTCTGAAACTTTTCTATTTTACTATCCATAAGACCTAATGGCTTAGGGTGGAACAGTTAATCCTTAGAAAAGTTATGGTTTTGTACCATATTCATTAGAGGTGCACCGATACATCAGTCCATATCATATCAGCACCGATAAAAGGAAAATTGACATTATCAGCAATCATCATTTTTTGTCTGATGTGGCCGATAATGTCGCCAATAAATATGTGCAGCCACAGCATGCACGCATCCAGCCCAACAGCTTGGAAAGTCGGTTATGGGGAAGGGATGTGGGAAGGTGTGTAACAGGGGCAGATTCAGGCCCCCATGGTGAGGGAGGGAGTGGGGCAGCACCTGGGGCAGGGGCAGGCACTGCCCAGCTGAAGTGGGGTGTAGGATTTTCATGGATTTCATAGACATTAGGGCTAGAAGGGACCTTGGAAGACCGAGTTCAGCCCCCTGCCCAAAGGGCAGGAAGTCAGCTGGGGACACAAAATCCCAGCAAGAGAAGCATCCAAATTTCTCTTGAAGACGTTCAAGCTAAGTGCTTGAACCACCTCTGGTGACAGGCTATTCCAGACCTTACGGGCTCAATCAGTGAAGGAATCCTTCCTTATGTCCAGCCTGAAATGGTCTTGCAGGAGTTTATAACCATTCGACCTTGTCATCCCTTGGGGCGCTCTGGTGAACAATCGTTCCCCCAGATCCTGGTGAACACCCCTGATAAACTTATAGGTG